TGTGCCTCCACGTCTTTCCGTGGCCGACGAATCTATTTTGATTTGTTTATATTGCGTCTATGGTAGTGGCTGTGTATGTTTTGCTTCTCTGTATATCTCGCATTAGGATAAATAATTCGCCGTCAATTTCTCATTCTGAAAAAATATGAAGCTCCTCACGCACAATATGTTAACGTCTAAAGCTATAAAAGGCGTGACGTGCGGTTATCCTCTAAAAATTATGGTAAGCCTTTTCTTGTATTGAAATGCACAAATTACAATATACACGTTTAGAATACAACATTGACTTAGAATCCTTGAAATATTCAATAATAATTAATTACTATTATTTATTGTGTTACACTTATACACTAAATACACTACTGTAACCCCCAAAGTTAGGTTATTATATTAAAGTTGTCATATTTAACTTTTGTTGCTAATTTATGCGTACAGAAAACTCGAAAAAAAAACTCATAATTGTCTAAGCAAAATTGGCCGAGATTCTGTGAGAAAGTAGCGTCGCAACTCGGCTAACATTTCAATTTCGTTTAATATCTCTTTAAGTTAATAAGCGCAAATACAAATTAATGTATGTCCCAAGGTGCTTTGCTTTCAAAATATAACAATTTTATTAAAATCCTGAACAGAAGCTGCCTCTTGTGTTTTCTGATGCGGTTAGCTGTTTTTCAGTTAAAGTAAAAAATGGGAAATATATTGGCAAAAGTGTGTAAATAGTTTTATATCAATTTCTTTGTTTTATAAATACTTGAAGTCTAGCTCTACTTTTATTACGTTTAAAAGTGTTTGCCTTAAAAAGTAAAAGAGATCACAATTTAATTCTAAACCTACAGCTAATTCATTGCTCTCTCACGGTTGCACATGTATTAAAGATACTCGTGAAAATTTGTAGGCTCGAGACATCAGAGTATCCGAAGTAGACTTTAATCCAGAATATATCGCCAGGATAATTCCAAAATTAGACTGGACAGTGCTGTGGAAAGCTGCCGAGAGCGTAAAATATCACCTTTTCATGCAAAGTATTGTGAAACGTATCAGTATGTTATAGTAATACATCAAGAAACATTTTATTACAGATAGGACATGTTGGCGAATTACCTAAGGTTCTAATAGAAGACTTCGAGACAAATGAGGACTTTTTGAAAAAGGCCCATCACGTTCTGTTGGAAATCGAAGTTATAAACGGAGATTTATTGTGTCCAGAATCCGGCAGAAAGTTTCCAATAAACGATGGCATTCCAAACATGCTTTTAAACGAAGACGAAGTTTAAATGGCAGAACCAAATACTCGAAGAATGCTATTTGTCATTGTTTTCAGATAAAGCTCTTCTGTATCATTGTTCCTTTCAATACATCTAGTTGTGTGTGTACATATGTATGCACTTATGCATATACATTCTATTACTATCTTATTTTTTTATATTGATACCAAATGTTAATATTTGAATAGGGATGTAGAGAGCAATTTCTATTTAGCGTACAAGTGGTTAAGTTTGAGTGCATACTTACGCGTACGCGTACGTGTGGAACTTTTGATAAACTTCCATTATGAATAATTTGGAAATACGTTGGGTGGAAATGCAGAATAAAATACACGTAAAATAGAAAAATTTGTTTTCATAGATTCAAAGTTTTCTTTTAATTATACCAGTTCTGATTCACGTTTATTTACGTCGCCTGAAAACGGACGTTCTTGTTATTAACCGGTCGTTGCGATAAATATATTCCTCGATAATCGAATTAAAAGTTACCCGTCGCAGATTATGGGAGGTCTAGGGTCAAACCTTGGCTGAGGTAATGTTCCTCGCAATAAATTTTTTACAGTGATTGTTACATAGCATGTGTATAAAAATTAAATTCTTTATCAATTTAAGTATTTCATTTTACTGTTCCAACAAATAAGGTGTGTGTTGAGACCCACAGATAACCAGCGCGCAGTTTACCGAGTTTGGAACAATGATAATATGATAATATGTGCATACTTTGTGCACTCTAAAGTTCCAAATAGAAAACACATAGAAGTAGCTTTTGACATTTTATTACCTTCAGATGACGGAAATTTATCTCGTTTGACCAGCCTAGCATGCATAAGCAACAATTAATTATAAATTAATAATTCTTAGTGTATAGGTGATTAAATTAGATTAAATTGCCGTGTATATATAATACGATTATAGATGTTTTATTGCACAGATATGTCTAAAGACAATAAGATATAATTTCTTGTATCATTTGCAATACTTAACATACAACATTTTTTTTATTTACATCACATTTATATTGCTACCTAGATAATTTGCTCGAGTATTATCTACACGAGTATTACCTACTCGTTCTTAGAGCGAGTTAGCAATGTAACATTTTGATACAATTGTTTTACTACAGTTAAGAGCATAGCAAACTCTTATAGCAATATTACAATGAAGTATATTAAATTATAATAAGTAGAATATAACCTAGCATATAGTCTCTTTGAATATAAGGTAATACTGGTTGATATACGAAAAATATGTCTTTTGACAAATATTTTTACATGTATGTAACACATATGTAAGTTATCTTGGACTTAAATTGAAACTATCAAAGTTATTTGTATATCCATTTGGTGTGAGAAATACAATAATTTACTGATAGATGAACATACTTTTGGAGATTAATTTTCTAATTGCAAGATGCTTATAAAGTAGCACAAAATGCTTCGTAATATCTTAAATTGTAATTTGTTATCTGAAATAAGTGTTGCAGTTTTGTAGTCTGCAGTTTTACAATTATTTATAATCTGTTGTCCAACTGAAATCCTTTCATAAAATTATAATAATTTTAAATGCTACGCAATTGAAAATGTTATCACTGTTTCTTCTTATAAATAGAACAATGCATATTTCAAGTACACAAATTTGACAACATTAAACAAAGCATTTTTTTACAGACTAATATAATAAACAAATATATTTTAAGAAGTACTTAAAAATGAAATGGCTTTAATCTAATGGCTATTATCGAAGGACGTGCAATATTATCTACTTGTAGTTTTCTGTACCATGGCAATGTTCAAAATATAGCAAAATATATTACTTTATTCCTTGTAATTTATTTTTAAAAGTTAAAAAGCTATAAAAATAGCTCTCAACTTACATTTCAGCCACAGCCCATCCATTATTAACATTTTAATCATATCTTAAATATTTATAAAGCTGGATTACTCTTGAGTCAAGCTATGAAAATATTTCTGTATATTAATATTCGATTGGCATATATAAATATTAATTTTTATATAGTTTATTATTGGAAACCTTATTTGGTTGTCACCTATTCTGCACATTAATTAATGGAGATTTGCTCTGCATTAGAGATATGCTAGTTTTCTCTATCATTACCTGGATTTATCTGTTTTATAATGCAAGTTTATAAAACATCTCTAAATATATGTCCATCTAATGGAATTTCTTTTTTATGTATATACAGAAATGTATATGTGTATATGTATATTGTATATACATATATGCACACATATCATTAAAATATATTTTAATACTGTATATTTGGCTCTAGAATTCAGCTAAAAGTTTCATTTTGAATACAACTATTATAAACACTCAAAAAGGAAGTCCATTTCGTTATTGAGGAATTATCAATATTAAAATATTTTTCAAGTACCATGTAAAAACATTTCAGATTTTTCTCTCTACCATTCAAGATTTAAAGTTTCATCATAGTAACAGTAATTATGGTGATAATTTTACTTTGTGATAAAATCTTACATTTTTCGAAAACAATATGTAAACATAATATTAAACAAAAGATAATGATTTTATATTTTTATACTGATTAATTCCTCAGAATACCTACATGATTACTTATTTTATAAAAGCATGGATAGGACATTACGTTTATTTAAACAAATATTAATACTGCATAGTTATTATGTTAAATATTATACTAAATTAGCACGTAAGAATTTCAATAATAGCAATACATCATTTTATCACGAAAACACGACATAAAGGAACAATTACACATGATAATTACGATTCAAAATGTCATTAGCGATTGACGCTAGACTTTGAATCCTACCAATTACTAATGAACAAAGTTAAAAAATCTTTAATAAATTATCTGTCCACATTTATGAAAGTTCAAAAAAAGATCGGTTATGTACTATTTATTTAAGTTACGAATATGCGAATAGTAAGTATATGTATATACCAATTGCACTAGTGCAAATATGCACTATAAAGTATATAATTTCGTATGTGTGTATGTATGCAGAAAATCAAGTTATTTAATTTCATCGATAACACTTAAACATGTTTCGAGAAAATTTTGGCATGTTTTGTATATAATAATATTTTACGTTTTACGTGTAATAATATTAAACTTAATAAGGTGTGTCACAGATAGAAATGCTATGTAACATTTTATATGTATCAGAATAAAATTCTATATACACCACGATTCAGGGAAGATCTAATAACGTATTTGCCACTAAAGAATATTATACCACAATGTCAACCTTAGTTTTAAAGAATTTAACATTTTTGGACATGTTATATGTGCGTTAATGGAACCGAATACTGTGTTTTTATAATGAAAACACATGATACACGACTCAGTAATGTTTCTTTTCATTTGCATTAAGAGCTTTTCCTCTCTTCTTTCCTTTACACACGCATACACATACACATGCATACAAAACTATTATTGTTATAATAATATTTACAAAGTTTCTTTAATTAGTTTGTGCGTGTGTATTCTTCTCTATCATAAGTATCAATAATTGCTAGCAAGGATCGTATAATATTAAATGTTAAAGTATTAATTAAATACGAATTTCATAGAAAGGAGAAAGCAAATTCCTCTGTAACAGAAACACATCTTTTGGTTTACATGGTTTACTGTGAATTATTAGTAAGTCGTATATCATGGCAACTGTTACAAAAACCAAGTTTTTATCTGTACTTTTTGTACTTTTCTGCAATCTTCCTCTTTCTATCTGTACCAGAGTGTATTAAAATTACCAAAAATCCTTCTATGTTTGTAGTTGCTTTGTTGTTCAATCTAGAGAATTAATTTTTGTAAGTTCGGACTTTTGTATCAGAAAATTTAAAGTTTATATAAAAAATGAAAATGTTCACGCTTATTATTGTTGTATATAAAATTGAATTCAGTCAATTTTATATTTTGGTGTACTTTTATAAAATATTGATCCTGTATATAAAACTACAAGGCTTACAAAGAACAGGTAGAGTTTTGTCTATTATGTAAGATTTGTTTTTTCTAGAGTTGTAAAGTTTTATAAAGTTATTTTATTAGGAAACCTCAAAATGTTTATTGAAAAAAACATTAACAGATCTCCAAATGTATTAATTTATTTTTTAAACTTTAGTCTTAAAAAAGCTTTGGATTATATTTCAAACTAAAATTAAATCCAAGAAAGTTATTTTTCCTGTTGTAAATAGTAATTTTTTACGTATAATTCTTTTATTTTTAATTGCTGATTATAGCTACCAATTATTAGGACTGTCTCGATGTTTTCATTGCAGAAAAATTGATTTCCAACGAGCAAAATAATCTATAGTTAAAGGGATTATCTGGGGGTACCTTGTATATTTAAACTAAATGTTTTATTCTCTTTAACTATTTAATATAATTATTTTTAAGTGCTGCAAAAGGACGGGCCTAAATGTGTACAAGCAGGTTATTGGACGAGAAAGACCATTCAGAAGTCTTTAGGTTTTCTTTCTTCTTCAAATAGTACGATGTTCTTACTCGACATTTTTAATGCATTTGAAAAATAATAAATAATAATAGACTTCAATTCTTTTAATAACCTATTTAAATCATACGATCTTTAATAATCAGCAGGTAAAATTTTTTGAAGTTTTTGATATCAAGCATTATACGTAAGATTTTATATTAATTTTATTTATTGCAATAACGTTTGCAATAATTATTTCTGAGTCGTAAAACTTCGAAAAATTAAAACTATATTACTATTCCTGCTGAGAATTAAATTGTCATCAGTGTAATTGTGTTTGGAACAAAATCATATATCTCACAAGCAGAAACTGGAATATACAATGAAATATAAATATATATAATGTGCTTCAGTTGTTTTAATAAAACAAATTTATTATATTATTAATATGTATTTTCAAACCAGGAATTTAAAGCTTAAAATAATTGAAACTTTGCTTTTAAAAATATTACTGACAATAAATAAAAATGTAGTACTTTTTTCAATCTTTTCTCATTATTTTTCAGCCTTTAACATTACATATTGTAATTAAATCATAAATTCAAATTTTATCAAGAATTTATTTAAAATTATTTAAAATATATTTGCTTTACTCTAATATATTTTCAATTACCATTTGCTCATGTAATATCGTAAGTTAGATAGCAGTTTCAAATGTATATACCAGTTACTTCTAGTTCTTTCTCTCAATATTCGACATGACTTTTTTGAACGTAGAAATGTATCGTAGATCGAAAAATTTTGGACGATATAATTAGTTCTTAAATCAGAAAACTAATATAAATACATAATTAGTTATTGCAATAGAAAAAAACGTCAAGCGATCTCATATCTTACACAAGATGTAAACAAAAACATGGTTGAAGTGATGCGCACAGCCGTTTTGCTAGTTCATTGTCGTCGCCGGTTTAAGAGCTATGATTAATATATGTATTTTACTTGCATTTACTGTACAATCCGTTTAATCATTTAAATTTATAAGTCTTGCTTACTTTCACCTGACATAAATCTACAGCATGGGGCCGATTGCTTTTGTATATATAAATAGTTTACTTTAACAGTGAGAAGTTTCAAAATTTTAGCAAAATCAAAATGCATTGCACTTTACACGTCCGCGTCTCATTAAAATAGATTATGTTTGAGAAAGTTTTTCTATGTTATTTTTTTATATATAAACGGCTCATGCGATAAATATAAATGAAGTTTCCAGAAGAAATAAACTCATTAGTTATGGCTCAGTATAACAAACGATATAATCTTAAATAATAATCAATATGATGTATTTGTCGTTTAATGCTAAACTAAACAAAAATATACATAAACTATCAACAAAATATAAATCTTTATTAAATGGCATAATAAATTAAATTTTTAATAATATGCGAATCAATGAAAAATATCTAAAATTAAATCGTAACAATGATGAGTATTTTTCAGAAACGACCTACTGGCCAATGCCTTTATTTAATATAAAAACGACGTTTCGGTCCTGGATTTGGACCCTTTTCAAGTTATCTGCTTCGTAATTATCCCTGATCTCATATCGTTCGTTTGGCCAATATCGCTATGTTAGTAGAATATTGGTCAAAGGAATAAGAGGGAGAAATTTTGCTTGCACTCTTTGGTTGGAGAGTGCAAAGTCAATTGAAGTTGCATTGTTAACTGTTGAAACACAAGTAAAAACGTCCCGAGATGTGTGTTGGACGAGGTAACAGATTGAACTGGTTATATTAAATAAAGGCATTGGCCAGTGTAGGTCGTTTCTGAAAAATACTCATCATTGTTTTGAATTGCTGGCGATATTATAATATATCTACCCCAAAGTTAAATCGTAAAATCCCAAAGAGAGACGATTGTGCAATTGCCATTAAAAATTAAAATATCTACTTATTTAACAAACGCAAAAATATCAAGAAAGAAACAATTGCACCTGTTTCATTTGCCACGACTCTCGGTATTGGCTACATTCCTTTGTGAATAAATGGAGCCTTGAGCCAATCCTCTTAACGGTCCTTTTCGTAATTCGGACTGGGAACCATTAGCAAGACAATTGCGGGTAGTAACTAGACTTCCAGTCTGCCCCATCGCAAGTGTTCTTGAAAAGGATTGCTTGGTCAGCAAATGTGGATCCGGTCCCGACCACGGCGCATAGTCCGGCCTAAACATTTTCGTTCATTTAATATTTATGATGAAGATATTACATTGTTAACAAGTAGTCGCATAAATTCTTTTCAACGTACAACAGCAGATCGTTATTCGCTCCCTTCGCTAAATCCGAATTTGATCCCGCTGGTTTTGTTAAGTACGGGGATTTATATTCTTTATCCTCTGTAGTGCTAGTTCCACGTGAAACTCTGAAGAAACATATTTTCTTATATAGATGAGAATGTTTCCAAGTACATGTTCAAAAGATATGATCTTAAACAAATGTCTTACTTCGGTATCTCAGTCTTATTTTTGGACCGTTTCAACTTTTCACTCTCCGCATCCTTACTTATCTTTTTAATCGGAGAAGCAGTTAATTTTATAGCCTCTGTCACTGGCAAACTATCTTTTCGGTCGTCACTTTTACTACTACAATATTTCAGATAAACACGTAAGAAAAATCAATAGAAACGTACAATTATGCATCTCGTATATGTTGTTGAAAAATAAATCCATTACCTTTGGCTGCTAGAAGTACATAGTGGTCGAGTAGCTTCTTCTGCCATTACTATATCTAATATATGTATTGCTCTGTCTTCATCATAATCTACACTATCCATAGCAAGCATCACAATCCGATCTGGCAAATTCTTATATTTTTCCATTAAACGTATTTTCACTGCAATATTTTCTTTCAGTAGTGTATGTACTTATTGCCGGACATAAAAAGCAAATAGAAAAATCTAAATAAATACATACACTTATTTTTTTCTTCCAAACTTTTCATACGCGGAGGAGGCGTGGGCGCAGGTGGCTCGTCTGGTACCTACAAAAAACAACCAATTTCTTTGCATGTAACAATATTACAGTGTATTGTTAAAAATTCATTACCTGTTCTTCCTCTTCTTTCTTCTTTGCTAAGGCTCTGGCAGAAAGAGTAGGATTTCGTTTTTCGTATCCTAAATCAATTAATTTTTCAGTTGCCTTCTGCACGTTATTATCGCTCTGTTCTAGCACATCCAATAGTATTGTTTCATCCACTTTTGGAAATACATTTTTCAGGTACCTGTACATACATTCAAAAACATATTAATGTTTAATATAGCTATGTTATCGCAATATGCACAACATACAAACATAATACATTGCATATGATATAGAATTGATACCTTTCAACATAGTATACAAATTATAATTCATTACTAAACAACGATAATCTAACATAATCTTATTTAAATGTTACTCGTGTACGTAGCATTAATGTTTGCCATACGCGAATGTTTAACGAACAAATTATGCTATGATATGTTTAAGAAATTTCTTCTGCCGTTTACATTATTAATAGTGTTATTTATGGATTATTTGTTTATAAAAAGAGCTGCAGATAAAGATGTTTCATAAAAGCGTATTGGACGATATTAATGCTCTCAATTATACGTCACAACTTGATAAAACACATAAGATTTAATAATTAACATTATTTATAATATGTACATGTGACTGACGTCTAAAAATATTCACGAAATGTTCTCTTTTCTTCGTAACAATAAACTATCCGGCAATTACTTTTATTTGAATATTTTTAGGATAGAATGCACATGCACATACTACCATGCTTAAATCTTATCTCATTTTGGGATAAACGAGTTTCTTTTCTTGTCACATCACCGTATATAAAGCAGTGTAAGGAAAATATTGCTGATTTACAACAACACACATGTAAAATTGTTCGTATACTTTTTTTCTACAAGAATGCATATAAAAACTCTTTTATTCCCTGAGAAATTTCTTTAACAACCAACATAACAATGACATCTAATTAACAATGTAAGCTTCAATTTGTGCCATTAAATGACAAACAAAAACAAAACATGAATATTGAACAAAAAAACCAACCTATTCTAGGTAGCATAAATTTCATACTATCCAACATCTATGTTATTGCAAACCAGGAAGAAACTGAAAGACAAAAGAAAAATCTAAATGATACAGATGTCAGAACATTGGATATTATTGAGCAGTGTGACAGAATGTTTTTCAAATTTCTCAAAAGTGATAAAAATAAAATAACACGATTAATAGGAACCTATTAAATTATATTTAATATTTGCTACCGTGCACAATAAATTATTTTTAAAGAATCGGCCAATCTATATGTGTACATATACATACACGTATATATATACATATATAATTGAATGCCTAGTACTTAATATCTAAATATAATCCAAGGAAATCTAGGATTCCATACATGCTACCGCTACATAATGTTGTGTGTATGCGTGAAATATACCAGACAGTTATAACAATGCAAAGAAAGGCAGTGCTCCTTGACTGGTATACTTCCATGGAACTATCACAAGATACGATATCAACATCTAGCATCCAGACTGGGTGAAAGAGACTGAAAACTATGAATATTTGGGTTAAACCTAAGTTTCATTTTTGGGGAGTTAGGGGCTGGCCGAACTCCGCGAGGCGGACTCAATGTTAATGCTGCATGTATAGAATGAGCCGGTAGACGCCATCTCGGGATTGCATAATATGAATGCACTCCCACAGGTGTACACGGTCCTGGAGCGCAAAGAGGATTCTTTTCCACCTGGAGAGCACTCATGACCAAAGCTGCTCTGTTATGGTATCTGAAAGATATCGGCTGTCGACTTAGCACCAAACCTGATATAGTGCTAGTTTAAGAAAATGGACGGGAAGCTCGGAAAAATTAAATCAAAGAGAAACTTGAAAAAATCAACCAACGATTTCTTTTGTACACGTGTAGTAGTTTTAGTTTCTGTGTTAACAATATTAATATTAATGTTCATAAGAAAATGTTAAAAAGCGTGTGTACTGAATTTTAGATGAAAAATCTTGCTAGTAGATAACTTGCGCGCATGAGACAAAAAATACTTACTTCTTCAGTAAAAGACGAATATGTGTGTCCGAAACTGTCGGGAATACAGCATTGATCTTTGCCACTTGTGACTCAGAGTCGGAATTTTGAGTAAAACTTGTCTCTGTATTTCTTACTGGGGTCGGAGATCCTAGAGTCAAGTCGCCGAATCGTGTTGTCATCGCACTGGTGGATTTCAACGACAGTGGCGTTTTCAGCTCCTGCACATACACACGATTCGCATTGTGTATAACTGAAAATTATTATATGTGTGTGTGTGTGTGTGTGTGTACATATGTGTATGTGTATATGTATATCCTGATAGCTAACTTACTGATAAAGAGCATGCATGAGTCAACGAGGATGACTTTCAATATAATTATCTACTTACCTGCGCGCTGGGAGGTAAAAATGCTAGTTGTGGATTATGATAAGGGGACGGTGTTGGATAAATTTGTGGAACTCTGTGAGCAACTGTATGATTTAAGTGCCCACTTCCGCTTCCTCCAGTCTATTTATTTGTGGTATATCGTGTGCGTTATCCAAATGCAGCGTGTGCATATCATAAGAACATATACATTTACAGTTTAACTCCATGCGCTCGCATACGCTCATTCGCACATACATACATCCACGCAAATATACGCGCGTACACACGCACACAATGTGTATCAAGTGCAGGATAGAATATTTTTGTACATATAAAAAAAGTATTTGCATACAGTCTTATATACAATATTTCACGTAAACTATTTTACTACTTGAATAATGCCATACTTTCAGATTGTTAATTCATGTTACATTGTTAATCCTTTCACGTTTCAACAGAGTAACAAAAAAGATTTGAAAACTCTTTCGTCTTGGTGGAGCGTGGAAAGAAACGAGAGAGTGGAAATCCTTCGTTTCATTTTATATGTTTATAGATAATGTATATTTTACTTTGCATGGAATGTAACTAAAACTTAATTGAAGAATTAGTATATGTATACACATGTATATTCAATTGCTCTTAAAGAACAAAAAGAAAATACATTTATATACATTCCATTTATTTGTACAGTTTCTTTGGAAAAATTATTTCCGGGTGTTTCTTAAAGAACGTCTAATTACATAACACGATTCCTCAAGAATTGAGTTAAAAATTGCTGAACTATTTTTTCTATAATGCTACAATGCTATTAATCCAATCAGTTCCGTCCTTTAGACGGACATGTATCAGTCTGGCACTGTGAATGCTTCACTATGTCGCTGCGATTCTGCATGTACAACATTCTTGCGCAATATAATAGGTGAAATTTTTTCCTGTACTATAAATCATATTCCTTCCATCAGAAGTACTTGGAGAAAATTTTCCAACAAATATCTAATATATAAAATATCTAAAATATAAAAAAAACCTATATCTTTTCACCTATAAATTGATTAAACATTTTTTGTGAATTCAAAAATCTGACTCTTTCTGGACACTTCTTCTCTACAATTTCGCATCTACTATAATAGTACTAGAATTCTGTACAATATTACTTAGAATATTAAATCTATAAAAAAAATTTTAAATAAATTTATAAGTGATAAGACATAGGGTTCTTTTATATAAGCACTATTAATCCATTATGTCCTGAGAGTCATAGCCATTGTAAAATTTCTTTAAATGCCTCTGACAAAAAGAATATAATTTATAGTAGAAAAAATACATATTCTATAACGCAAGAATATTGTATGTGCAAAAGCATAGTGATATAGCGGGAGTACTCATGCACACTCTATTAGATGCGCAGCTCACCGAGTATGCTCGTCTCAAGGACGGAATTAATTGAATTAACTTTACTCAATAATTACTACTCTATGAAATAAGATAAAAATAGTCTTCAATACAACATATATGTAAATGTTACGGCCAATTTTTCGAGCAACAATAAGAAAGGTGTTGTGGTTATCAAAGTATATTTATTTGTCGAATGACAACTTTGACGTATCGTGAAAGAATGAACATTTCGGCTTACTAAGACTTCTTCAGTAATTTATGTAATTAAATAAGAAATTCTTGAAATTGTATCACCGATTAATTGATTCTATAATTAACGCGAACAAAAGATGTGAATAATTTGATATTAAAGTAAAAGGGAGTTAAAACTTATGTTAATGGTCATCTGGATTTTTCCATCAAATTATATATAGAGATATTGTATTTTGTCAACACCTTATTTTATTATTAGTCAAAAACTGGTCATGACGTTTATATATATAGTTGTACCTTATTAAACATTATAGAAAAGAATAGTTCAGGAATAGCAAGCGTTCTTTACAAAACACCCTGTGCTTCCTTTACACATATAAGTGGAATGTACTTTTAACAAATATACCAATCTAACAAGTGTACCAAAAGGTATATTGCCACATACATACAGAGTTCGTTTTACTCGCTCTTACATTGTCAGGACTGGCACTCAGAGGCAACATGCTTGTCCATTTCATTTAGCATGTAATGTACAAATGCTATTTACAGGCGACAGTGCGTGTCCAGTGTGACAATATTTTTTAAATGAATGATTTTCAGAATAGTTAACGTTGATTATTAATATTAGCAATGAAAACCTTTTATATAATTTTTATCTTCTTGAATAAAAGTGAAGATGATTAATATCAGTATTTAAGATATTTTAACAGTAGGTGCAGGTCCCTTACGCACGTTTTTAATGTAAAAGCGAGCAAGACAAACCTGGTCACAATGTGTTGGGAAAAATATTTCATTTGGACGCTTTGAATACTTAAAAATGATTTTACATTATGATTAGAAGATATCGATACACAGGGTTGTACATGTTGGGACAAAGTTAAAAGAAATTTGATGATATATACAGTGTCAATAAAACAATCAAACACCGCAACACACTGTAAATGTATTAACTGATGTAAAATGTTAACATAAACGTTCTTTTAGCATGGCACAGTATCAACCTTGACATTCTCTTAATGATAAAATATAAATTTTAACATGAACCTTGACCTTTACAGTATTTCCTTCATTTAATCTTACTAAAAAGAAATGGAAATTTCTATCAATATATTCAAAAAAGTGGAGACAAATACAAGGAAATCAATAACTATATGGTGTAACGATTGAACTTGTAATTGCGAGAATCGTGAGCAATTCTGAAAACTCAAGTTCTCCTAAATTGTTGGAAAGATATTCTTTTCTCAGAAAATATATTTTCATGGTTCCTCAGGCTCTTCAAGAGTAATCGTACATTAGTAAATCATTAGAGATCAAATACTGCTAAAATATATACATATCTTCATCCTTTTTTTAAGCATTAAACACTTGATCCAGAAACACATTAACTTTCATAAAACTCTTCCCGCTTATACGCAGATAATTTCTACCAATTCAACTGACCTGCATAGGAATATCTTGGGAAGTAGTGGTAGTGGCCGAGCTCAGTGCCATCGAGTTCTGAGACTGTATATACTGAGAGTACTGCCAATATCTTACTCTTGGATCTTCCCATGTTGTAGTTCGATTAAAGTGATTTATGAAATATCTGAAAGGCATTTCGTTAATAGTCACATTTAATGTCGTGCCAAGGAAATTTTGTACAAGCATTTTTAGCACGGGGCATTCATCGGGGCGGAACTTGTTTGAATGTAAAGCGTCTCGATTGACGCACGTAGAAAATTATCTACGGTGCTGTCTTCATCTTCAGCAGACACGCTGACAACTGACCGTTTAGATCTAGAGCTGCAACTATTATCGAGATCTGTGTACATTAAACCTGGGACGACATGGGTTCACCGACGTCGGGCAATTTTGACTTTAAGAACCGTATCGATACGCTCATTGTTCTCCGCAATGAAAGGAATTTAACGTTACAAGTTCTGGAGTGCACTTTACGTACGGACGACCGCTGCGAATGTCGTATCTGCATTCCCAGCCGGGTGGTAATTGACTTCTGTCATTCTGTTCGGCCATCTTTCCGCGTTGTGTTGTTTTGATAAACGTCGACGAAAATATCACCTAGGATTCCGTTCCCTTCTCCCTCGGGCACGCTATCAGTCCGCTACTATTTACCCCAACCTCGTAATAGCGTCGTAGTGTTGGGGAGGCGAAACACCGAAATCAAATAAAACTGCAACGATACAAAACTCACATGAGCCGGTGCGAAATCGCTCCTCAGATTACTTCCATTTCAATCCAATTTCTATGAGCACATGTTTTACTCGTGTCCATTTTTATGAAGGAGTATTAAGCCCTGTTTCCACGATCCAAGAACTGTGCCCAAGTTCTAGTTTCGAGAAATGTGTAGCCAATCAACTTGCAGCTTTTCCGTACAAGATGCAGGTTGATTGGCTACATATTTCTCGGAGTTAAAA